TTCAGAGTTGGACGGGAGAGAGATGTGAAATATTTCCAGCAAGGTCTGATATGTTCAGAACTAGGCTCCAGAAGGACAGTTTTGGCTGCAGGATGGAGACTGGGCTACAGGGGCAAAGTGCAGGTGGGGGACCAGTGTGGGGACTCACACCTTAATGCCAGGAGAGTCACTTGCAGCAAACCAGTGCTGGGGATAGGGGATAGGGACATTGTTGAGGAGGTGGAAGAGGGGAGGGAAGGGGAGAGATGAGACTGGCCTTGGGGACCGTTTTGAATCCTAGTGGCTGAGAGCTGTATTGTGCTGCCTCAGAAAGTAAAGCACTGGAGGAAAGCCGGGGCCGGGTACAACAACAAGCTCGGGTGGACAGTCTGAGTTTAAGGACACTCCTTAGGGTACACCCGTTGGCTCCTCCTGGAGCCTGAACGTGAGGCTAGGGTTGGACTGGGATAGTGCAGGAAAAAGACATTCAGGGAGGAAATACACTGGTTAGGAGATGGTGGTGGTGTGTGGGCTCTGACACTTCTTTCTGCCCTCTCCAGACCTTGGTTTCCTCATCCCCATAAAAGGGGATGGAAAGCTGAGCCCTGAAGGGAGAGAGCCTCCAGGGAAGGGCCTCCAGGGGCAGCTGCAGGGGCGGCAGAAGCAGGCTGACCCTGGACCCTAGGACTTCCGGGATTTTCTCTGGAGTAAGAGCCAGGACCCCCTTTCCTGGGTGCTGACTCAGCTCTGCCCTGCAGGTACAACGCCCAGGAGTACTATGACCGAATTCCTGAGCTTCGGCAGGTCATCGAGCAGCTGAGCAGTGGCTTCTTCTCCCCCAAACAGCCCGACCTGTTCAAGGACATCGTCAACATGCTCATGCACCATGACCGGTGAGCCAGTCACCCAAGGAATCTTGCAGGTGGGGCTGCTGGGCTGAACAGGGCTTGGAGTGTTAGGAGGCTAGGCAGGGCTCCTGGGCAGAGCTCCAGTCCACCAGGACAGGATGGGCTGGTCCCTTGACCTCATGGAGCTTTCTGCCTGTCTATTCCCCTCCAGGTTTAAAGTCTTTGCAGATTATGAAGACTATATTAAATGCCAGGAGAAAGTCAGTGCCCTGTACAAGGTAAGAGGTCCTGGGCCAGGGGGCTGGCAGGGCTTTGGTGGCCCTGGCTGGGATGAGGTGGAAGGTGGGGACCCCACCAACAGAGTGAGCCAGAGATCCCTTTTGGCCTGCAGAACCCGAGAGAGTGGACGCGGATGGTGATCCGGAACATAGCCACCTCCGGCAAGTTCTCCAGTGACCGCACCATTGCCCAGTACGCCCGGGAGATCTGGGGTGTAGAGCCTTCCCGCCAGCCCCTGCCGTCCCCTGATGATCTGATCTGAGCCTCCAGACCAGACCCCACACCTGCCCCCGAGTCTGTTTGCAATCCCTTGGGCCAGCCCAGCTCCTGATCCAGAGGCTGGGGTACTGGACTTAGATCTCTAAGCCTCTGCCTGAAACCCTCATTTACTCCCAGCCTTGAGTTCACATCGTCCAGTGTGACTGAGGACACTGCTCCCATCGAGTCTTCGGGCTTCCTGCCCCCTCCTATTTATGGGTCTGACCAACTGCACCCGCCCTTCAATAAATTGATTCTCCTTGGGAGCCTCCTTAACTCCTCTCTCTGCTGGGAAATATTTTTAGTTCTGGGTGGGCACAACGGCAGCTGCGCAGTCACCCTGGCTTACCCCCACCGCCGCAGGTGCGTCCCCTCGAAAGGGGGGCGGCCCGCGGAGGCAGGGCCCGGGGCTCTCCAGCCCCCTTCCCGACGTCACCCTCCACGCCTCTCTTCCCAGAACCGTGTCCATACTAGGTCAGAGGCCTGCCAGGCTGGCCGGGGGCGGGGCATCCGCCTGGGTGGGGTCCACGGGGGCTGGGACTTGGGACTTGGGCTGAGGCTTGGGGACTGCAGAACACCCAGGGCGCGGGGAGCGAGACCGGGGAGGGGGCGGGGCCTGTGCGAGGTCGGCGCCTTCTTCACTCCGCCCTCAGCCCCGCCCCACTGCGGCGTTTTAAGGGTCTCTAAGCCCCGGCTCCGCTTGCGCCAGTCCGGGGAGTGTGTGCGGGGTATATTCACAGGCTGTCCAGGCTAGCCAGGGGAAACTGAGGACCAGAGGTCTGTTCCTAGGCCTCGCATTACCTAGACTGAAGTGTGAGGGAGGTCCTGACTCCCCAGCACAGAGTCGGGGAGGGGCAAGCCTCCGGAGGCAGGTTTGGGGCGGGTGGTTTCATAGTGAGTGCGCTTGAACCCACAGTCCGGAAACCGTTACCGGCTCCCCTAGAGCCGGCTTGTGGGGACCCCAACCGCCTGCTCCTGCCCCTCCCAAGTTCCTCCCTGCCTAGGCCTCCAGGCCTCCAGTCGCCAACCTGCGGAGAACCCACCCGCAGCTTGCAGCTGCCCCCTTCCATCTGGCACCGTGGGAGCCAGGCTTCCGGGGCCCCAGTCCCGCCCGTGTGAGTTGGAGCTTCCCCCACAACATCCCCAGACATCGAGGTCTCGTCTCCAGGTAGCGGCGTTTGCATTCTTCCCTCCCCACAGGGCTCTCTCCTCTCCAAAATCTCTCATCTAGCTCTAGCCCCTCCCCCGGACTCTCACAAGGACCCGGCGCCCCAAGCCCCCGATTTCCACCAGGGCTGTGCCCCCCGCTGCCCGGAGGAAGACGTTCGGCCCCAGGTCGGGGTAGTCCCGTGGGAACGATTTGTTTCAAAAACAGGAACCCGGGCCGGGGGCTGGGCGGGGCGCCCCTTCCCCACCGCAGTCCGCTTCCTGCCCCTCCCGGCTTCCTCTGCCCAACACCAGGCAGGGCGGGGGGCACAGGG